ATTGTTCCCCTGCCTCCCTGCCACAACACAGGAGGTACCTACGCTCTGATGTTTCAAAAGACAGAGAGAAAGAGGAAAGAGAAAAGTTTAACCAGGTTTATGTAGTTCTACGCACTGTAGGTGAAGAGTTTCACAACTGTTGTAGGAGCTCTCCAAAAGCTCTTCCAAATAACTTCTTAGCTAAGATTACAACAAAGCTGATTAAACAACAAAAATATCTCTGGTTTGAAACAATGACTCTTGGTTAAAGTGAGGACTGTTTTCAACACCATTAATGTATTGTGTTAAAAATACAAGGAGGGGATTTTTTCCTAAATCAGAAAACAAAGAAAAAGAGATGAACGATGATCAAGTCAATTAGGCCTTACAGTCTTTGTGTTTGTAGCCTGTATAATTGTAACACAAAACAGTGCTTACAGTTAACATTTTAGCATTGCTTGAGCAGTGTAAGTTACCAGAATAGAGCAGCCTGGACACAGATTTGTTTAGTAGGTTCTATGTTTGCTGGTGTAAGACCTTTCTCCTTTTTCACTTCATTCAAATACAAATTCAGTAGTGGGTGACACTTGGGCTTCTTCATTCAGTACCTTGTTTTAGTACAGTAAAAACAGTTTGTATTTTTTACTTAGGATTTAAACTAAGGCTCCAATCCAGAACTCCAGAAATCAAAGACTCAAACTGAATCACTTTTAAAGTTGATGTCCCTTCCCCATTTAAATCCTGAGATCAGTGGCATTCAGTTCTTTCAGTGTTTCTGGAGGAAGACACCTTCTTAAAAAGAGAAGTTTGGTAAAACAGAGTTTTGAGCTTTGATCTTAGTATTAAATTATCCTCCCATTTGCAGAAAAGTAATTTTACATCTAAAGCACACTGTTATAATCTTACACTACTGTTTACACATCCATGTCAACTGCTGGTCTCCCGTAAGATCCACGTGGAATGCAAAAGAGTTGGAGCAGAACAGGCACATGCTAACATATGCATTCAAAGCAACAGGAGACTAGTCACTTTTGACATATTAATATCTATTGGGTAAAATTACAAATGAAATTAAAAATACCACTATTTCTTAGTAGGCCAAATAAGGATACACTTCGTATTTTCTATGCCAAAAATGTGACATTAATAAAAATAGAAAGTCACTTACTAGTAAGCCTTCTAGCCTAATTTGATTTCACACTGGTAATTCAATACTGATTAATTCTATTCTTGCTGGGTTCTATCTTCAATTGTGCAAGCTTGCTTCATGAACACCACTTTTAGAACTACAGTCTAGTGAATATATCAGCTGTTGGTATTTCTGCTATCATCCCCTTGTGAAAGGATATTGATTGTTCCAAAGTGAAATTTGGGGGGGAAGGCACAAAATTTCACAAAAATTAGAGATTAAAGTATCTGTAAGTGCTTTCAGTTCATAAACACTGTGTCTTAAAATGAACACTTTGCAGACTATTGACTGCATTTGTGAAATGGATGAGCATTTTCAGTTCGAGTCTAGTAACTGTTGCTCAGAGAAGAGAGAATATGCACTTACTGCACATGCAAAAGAATAATATACAACTGAAGATTGAATAAAATGCTGATAGTGTCCGGTCAGCAGAAGACCCCAAACTAATTCCAGATTATTGCTGGAAGTGAGAACTAGGCTCCATGCTTCTGTATAATTATTTTTCAGCAACAGAAAGGCAGTAAAACTATTTTTTGAAATACTATATGTGACTAAATGCTCTTTGAAAACAGCCACCAGAGAGCAAGCAATGCCTTTACATAAACCTATTAACTAAATCCTGAAAATACCCCCGGGTCAATGCCATATGCAAAGTCAGCTGAAGCCCAACTATAAACACGGTTCAGTTCTGCTTTCTAGACACAAGATGACTGATACGAATCATGCTGAAAACCCCTTGTTTAATCTCAGTGCGTAAGGGCTAAAGTCCGCCATTCTCAGCTCCTCATATTTTACAATCAATCAAGATTCATTTGAGAAGCTCAGAAGGCACTGGGAATTTTTTCACAGACTATGAAAGCAAGCTGATGGGTGCTGTAACTTTTGCCTTTTAGTGCTGAAGAAAATAAGTCTGAACAACAGACCTGTTATTCTTCATCACTTCCTTTATTAATAGTTTAATTTCTGCAACATACTGCAGGGTAGCTTGCTTAGCATTCCTCTCATCTTCATGAGGGCAAGAAGAGGTAGGTGTGGGGGATTACTAATCCGATTCTCAAAGCATTCATCAATCTCAGAGATTTTTAACGGATGAGTGTTCCAAAGGTCTGAAGAAAATCAGATCTGAAGACATTAATGGATTAGCTGTTTCTTCAGATTTACATATACAACAACAGCACAGAAGGCCAACATCATGTCTGTGCAAATCTGTGCCTAACAACCAAGTCAAAAAGAGCATTATACAACAAATACCCTCCTAGTGCTAGAAACTTTGTTCCTGGCAGAGCTGACAGAGCTGCATGAAATATTAACTCATCTCACAAAGCGCAGGTTTTATATGTATTTTCACATGAAAATATCAGCACTATCTGCAATTCAATCTTTTTTTGAGAGGAGCTCCTCAGCCTCAGTCTCCTCTAATTCCCCATTGACTGAAAATTAAATACCCTTCAGAAGCAACTCTACCTCACCACATACAAACAGGACAGAACCTAAAAGCTCTTTATTATATGTGTATGTTGTATGTGTACCCATAAGAGTCGAAGAATCCTAGGTCTGGATGCCCTAGAGCAACCTTTTCAAAAACAATCTTTGGTGCACAAGACTTTCAGTAAACTGACGTCCAAGGTTTTTTAGGTATCAAAATTTTAAAGCATCCCATTGATCTTTTTAGTCAGTTCTGAAGTCTTTGCATGCACTTTTAAATACTCAGTTGTAGGCTATCTTGAATTAACCCCTTATCACTAATTTTATCCTAAACTGCTCACACCCAACATGCTTTAACCAGTGCCTGGAGATCATGTAGAAGACAAAGAAACTGAATTACGCCTAAATTAGAGTCCTTCTGTTTCAATGTTAGAGATCAAAAAGAGATACTATATTTATCTCTTAAGTAGAAAGGTAACCTCCTAAGAGCATTCCCCTCCAGTAACTTCCTGAAGTAACTTACTGTTTTCTGGTACATAAATGCAAATATGAACTACCACATCCAAAATAACATTTAAGTGAATATTCAGCAAGTATGTTTTAGATTTAGTAATTCTCCTAATTACTTTTAAAGTCTAGGGTTCAAAATTACATCTATATTTAAAAAAAAATATAGATCACCGATACTTTCAAACTAAACATAAAATCATTTATTACATCTTGTTTTCACATGAAACTCAAGTGTCCCTTGTATCATGTTCATGTTTAAAATATAGCAAACTAACATTCATTCTAATATTTCCAACCACATAAATTAGAGTATCTTTATAAGGCTAATCTAAAATTTAGATTTCACTATATTTGATTTTAGTATCCAAGACCTAAAGAATTTTCAGGAAACTGACACTACACACTATCCTGTTAACACTGTTGTTGATACGGATTTCCTCATAAGGATTGTTTACAGTTACTAAAATAACTATTTTACATTCGTAAGAATTACACAAGTGGACTGCCATAGTTAAGTTACAGGAGGAAATGGTACCACAAGATTCTATTTCCCAGAGAAGGCATTTATTTTGCTGAAGCAATATTTCAACTTGGTGATAGGATACCCTGCAGGTTGCATCTGTTAAAGGGTTTAAAATATAAAGCTACACTGCTACAGTGGGCAATACTTTTTATAAGTAATTTAAATTAGCTGTTCTACCTGCAAAAATGAAACAAACCAACAACTCATTCAGATTGGTTCACTCCTATCCAATGCTTGTTGTGCTGCCTAACAATTCCAGGTTGGACCTTTGAAGCTTCCAGTTGAATCTTAGTTCACTGACCACCAGATTTACTATCCTCAAGTAGCCTTGAGGATTTAGCACTAAAAATCTGGTGGTTCACTGACCACCAGATTTACTATCCTCAAGCAGCCTTACAGTTAGATGAGCATACCTTCAGAGTTCAGCGTAATAAGGGTGACGTTGTTCCCAATACTTTGGCTTCCTATTTGTCCACTGTTGGAAACTGAGTCACTGGCCTCAGAGCCACTCTCTCCATCTTCATTGTGACTGTCGTCATGCCCAGGAACTTTCACCACTATGGTGTTCTGCCTACGTCCAGGAACAGCACTATGGAAAAGAAAAGTAGGTAACTTTGGGAAAACACGATCCTTGTTCAGGAATAGCATCATTATAAGGGAACTTAAAACACTGACAAAATTAAATGAATTATAGAAGTATATTCCTTTAAAACAAGCCTTCTCCTGTTCATAACTCAAGTTATAATTTTACACTACTGTTTATACATCCATGCCAACTGCTTGTCTCTAATTTCTGTGCAAGATCCACTTGGGATGCAAAAAGGTTAGTGCAGAACATGCATAAGCTAACATACACATTCAAAACAACAGCAGACCAATCTTTTTTTTTTGTTTTTGCTATCCAGCAAATAAAATGGAAAGAAAATTGCAGAAGAAAAAAGTTTCAGATGCACTGTCTAAATCTGCATCAATGGAGAAGTCTAGGCCCAATGCGCAAACCAAACGGAAGAAAAAATTATAAAAATATGTTATTTAAGAACATTTTCTACCCAAAATCTCCAGTTCCACTTAATTTAAAATTTGCTTTAGACAATGTAAATTCTAACAAGCTTTCCTGGGTGGCTGCATATTCCTTCTTCAGTTGGTTAAATACAGGATCTTGGCACGTTCGTTTGTGATTGTGCATCCTTGTAAAATATATGTAGCTGTGGACACTTCCTTTTGACTAACACTGAACTAATCCTGCATCCTCAAAGGTACTCTCACCCCATCAAGAGTGAAATATTGCTCTATACCTTGCCTTCTGATACAAGGTCTCTATAGGCAGAGCAGTCGGCCTGATAAAATATTCAAGTACCAGTTCCATGTCACCCCCTACACTATTATCTAGAACATTTAAATTGCTGCAGAGACTTGATCTGTCAAAGAAGGGAATGAAGGGGGAGGATTCCCGTAACCGTTACTAACTTGCTAAGGATATTTTCCAGAGAATCCGCTGCTCTGCTCAGAGGCTCTTCCTGCCCAACCATCTTGGCTACAATTGAATTCTGCCGGTCATTGTTCAGTATTACTGTTGTCTGAGGGACAACACTACAAGACAAAAATCAGAGAGGAAAATGGAATGTAAAGCAGCAGACCTTATAAATAATACATTAACAGAGTCTTATGGTTTAAACAGTCTACTTGGAAGCAGAAACTGCCTCTAAGCCTTGCTCTTTCTCCCAGCATCGTGGTTCTGCATCAAATGCTAACGCTGGTAATCCATCGCATTTGACATCTGTACCATTTCAAGTACTCAAATTTTTCAGAGGACGGATGGCTTCAATGGAATTATATAAAAGTCTACCACCCCTGGCAAAGCAATAAGGAATTCATCAACTCAAGATACACAGGAAAACGTCTGTAAATCACCACTCCAAAGAGCCACCAGATTCTTGCTTTGAAAAGTTTGAGCATGAGCATTTTCAGAGATCTACGGCCAACTTATATGGTAATGCACCATTTTTAGTAGGATAATTCCTAGGAAAAATAATGTAAAAGTATTTATTGCAAAATGGGATAACCTTAGTTAAAAAGCATGCATTGTCTTGCAGGGCTGGGGGCTTGTGGAGGGCAGGAAGACAAGAGGTGTACGAGGGGCATCAAAGCAGAACAGGGATAGACTGCAGCTTCAAATAATGACAAGACTGAACTAATTCTTGTGTGCATTTCACATACCAAAAAAAAAAATAAATAAATAAACCAGAAAAGCATTTAGCTTGTGAGAAACCAGAAAGCTTTTACTAGCACTTACAATGTAGAAGGAAATTACTAGACAAGTGTTGCATAGAAAAAATGTACTAGATCTACATTATAATACAAAAGTAAATATGAAAAATAAGTGGCTCTGGCATGCAGCTTATCACTTGATTTGGTTTCAGAGATTATTGACATTATTCCCACACCATTACTCAATAATCTAAGGAACAGTTTTGATACTTCAGACTGTTTCCACTGTTCTCATGGTAAACTTAAGGAGAGAACTTAAAAGAAAATGTGTAGTTTAGTGACAGAGAAGGCTTTCTTCTTTCTGTCTGCTTCCCACAGTAAATAGCCCACTATTGTTTTTACTAACATCTCAAATATGACTGATGGACATTTATTTTTCCTAACTGTATCCCTTAGCTAATTGTTGAAACACATAAATCTGATGAAAGCAACTCTATTTATTTCAGCTGTAATAGGAGTGCCTGACTGCTTGAATATTCATGTGTCTACTTAAGACTTCAGGTGCTATAATAGCAGTTGGTAAGGCCTAAAGAAAAGATAAGAAACTCCCCCAAGAGCTAAGGATAAATGAATCTAGATTTTAGCACAGATAAAGTGGTTGACAACAAGTTTTATGGATAAAAAAAGCCCCAGGCTACATCCCTTTAACTGCATCTGGTGCTAGCAACAAACAGGATTCCTCTTGGGCTGCCAAGGATCAGGTGGACTGCAAACCTTGAGAAGCTCTGGAAAATGTTTGTCTTATCATAGGTGAGTGCTGACTGTACTATAGCTTTTCACCTGCATGCGAATTTCAATTTATATTAAGCAATAAATGGGGAGGTTCTGTTAGGTTGTTTCAGCTGGTGTCTAGAGTCTAGGGGTTTATGATGCTTTCACCTTTTTAAAATTTTCTCCATTATCAAGGGGAAAAAAAACCTTGCACATTCTTTATGGGGGGGAACAAACGAAAAAGGCAATTTGTGTCTGTTTTCTCAATGCCAGCAACAAACATTTAAAAACAAAAAAAACCCACACCAAATACTTGATAAATGCAATACTTGACAGTAGCAATGCTGGCAGTACCCCCAGTCCAGCATCAATATTATGTGTTCCTGTTACATTTCCCAGATTGTCCACATAGCCACACTGGAAGTTTTCACAGGCTGGTTTAAATGTTCAAAAATTTTACACTTCCTTTTAGACACTGCTCTTTATCACCATCTTACTTGCAATCACTTCTGAATGCCTGTTTAAAATGTCACTTACCAAAGCTTATTTTTAATGAACACTCTGAATAATTAATTTCAGCTGTAGAGATAAATGTAATAAAATTACATTTATAAAAGACCTTGGGATTTTACTCATATTAAGTTTATATTCGGAATAAAGAGATTTAGCACTAAAAATTGGCATAAAATAAGGAAGAAGTTGAGGGAGTTGCCCTACGGAGGTTTTGGGGGGTTATTTTGTTGTTTGGGGTTTTTTTTAGGAATATTCATTTTTAAGGAAGACAATCAAGAGAGTGAGCTGGATGGCTTATAGCTAATTTAAGCAAATTGAGAATAAGGAAATACTTTTATACAGCCCACCAGCACAGATTTATCCCCTTTTCAATGCATCAGTGTATGTTCAAGCTTGCTTACTTTAATGCATAAACATTATTTCCAATTCATCCCTAAACAAACACCATGAAAACACTGGCTCCTCAACAAGAATTAACTTTTCCTAGTTAGTAAGTAGTATTGACAGTAAAAATCCACCTTCGCAGTTATTTTGGGAGGAGCCACTAACTAAACATACCATTTTACTGACACATATTTTCCCTGGTTATACAGCAGAAAGGCGAAACCAGACACCACATACACAAAGAAAACCTCTGCAACAAGCCACAACTACCACCAAATTGTCCATCAATTGTTTTACATTTGGAAATGAACTTTTCTGAACTCATAAGGAATCAAAGAATCCATAAGGCAGCTTGGAGAAAAAACAAAGTCACAGAAAGCACAGTGGTAGACAACAGCTAAAATAATTGTTTGGAAACATTCAACATCACACAACAGATCTACAACCACCAATTAACCTTTCTCTGTGAGTAACCTGCCTGAGTAGGAGTTGTAGTTTGAAAATAATTGGATCTTCTTGTCTGTTACCAAGAATCATCAATGTTGGAGAAAAGAGTATTGTGTTCTGTATCTACTAACAAAAAGACTCCAGTAAAACTCAATTCTTTTTCACTCTTAAAGAAGGAATTTCTTATGTTTTATGCTTAACTTCTGAAGAATGATGCTTTCAAAAGTAGTCTGCATGAGCTGAATGAGGTAACCTTTCCATTCAAATCATCATAAATATTAACCAAGGAACAACAGTTCTGGCCCATGATCTACATGGAACAAGAACGGCAATAAAATTTGATGACAAACTCTGACAACGAGGCATCATGACGCAGAAATTTTTGAGACCTGATGCTGTGAAACTTGAGCAGTCGCTTACCTGGAAGAAAAAGAAAAGAAATAAAAGGGACTAATACAAAAAGGTTCCACTATCCTTGAAAAAGGAGAGTTTCACAGGATTTTCTTAAGACTCCAACTCGTACACAGGAGAAATGGATAACCATAAGATTCCCTGCAGATAGAGGAATATGCTTCCTGTTAACTTTCCTGCGAGTTGTTCTATTCTCTGTTTTCAGATTATTTATTTTAGAGACAACAAGAAATCCAATGAATATACATGAAATTAAATAAGGAATTCTACGGAAAGCCGAAATACTGGGCTAACCTGACAAATCCAGAGGAAATCATTAAAACTTATTACAGGCTTGTGCATCCTCATACTGGATTATTCTAACTTTTTAGTCTGAACATCTCATACTAGAGATTAATTGATTTTTAACCATTACTTATGTACTAAAATACAGAAAACAAATCACAAAAGAAGGAGGAAAGCTTCCGATATTCACTCCGATCCCAAATGAAGCAATTCTTCCTACAAGTGCTGCCAGTGCTACACTCATAGAGAAGATGGAAAGAAAATATTAAGAAGGGTCAGGGGGAGTGCTTCAGAAACCCTGTGTTGCTGCACAGGCTTCAGGACTTTCCATTTGTGTTCACGTGCTCCTTTCCCCATAAGCACTAGAACTTGGAGAGACTGGTTCTGCAATTTGCCTATTCTTGGACACAACTCAGTGAAAAATTTAAAATGCACACAACCTACAGATATTATTATATTCTGGGAAATCTTTTGAATACAGTTACAAAATACTCTGTTAACCTAGAGATGAAAATATTTCTTTAAAAAAACCAAACATACCAAATAATGATTTTCAAGCATACACATTTAGCCTCTGCCTTTTTTTTTTTTAATATAAAAGGACATTCTACATTTTGCATAAGAAAATTGCTGCCAAAGGTAGTTTTCAGTATGGAAACGTGTGAGTCATAGATATGATCATTAGTCTTAACTGTTGGTTTTTCATTGCCAACAACCTGTCAATCACACAGAATGTAGCCAATGACATAAAAGAACTTTTGGCAATACCACCACCACCATCTCTTCCTCTTCCCAGATGAGGTTTTCATTTAGAAAGAGAAAAAGAAAGGATAAGGAACTAACTGACATTTCTATCTTCCACAAGGTACAAGATCAAAAACGTTTCTCTAAACCGATGAAAATGACTTGTGATAAAAATCAGACCAAAGTTTTCAAACACGAGTGCTCTATTTAGACCATTTCTGAGCCTTCTTTGAACATGAGATCTTGCAAACACGTAACTAAGAGCTCAGCTTCGAGACTCTGAACTAGCCACAGCCACACCAACTGCTGCTTCCTGGGCATGTAATACCTTGTGGTCACTCCAACACTCCCACAGCAGATGCTGCTTATGTGGAAGGCAGGGCTCCTGAGGATATCATTGTCTCATCCTCTAGTGTACATCTCAGAAGGAGATGCAGAAAGAGAGAGGATCAGGAAGGCTGGAATTGGAGTTAATGCTGGCAGACTGCTTTTACTGAAGCTCTCCAGCCAAACACAGCCTTAAGGAAAACGAGTCTGGGAAAGAGACCTTGAACTGTCACATCTTCCAGTTTACTGATGGGGGGGGGGGAAACATGAAGACTTAAGGGAGGGCGAGGGGGCAGGCAGGCGAGCCCGGAGGAATATTACAATTAGCCCTACCATAAGGAAAATCTGCATGTTTTTCAGATTACACAGAAAAATGCTATTTTAGAAGTGTGGCATTTTTCTTACTTTGTTTTCTTTTTTATCTTACACTAACACTTGTGTTCATCTCTAACACCAGCCACTCTGGATCTTTCCATCACTATTTAGTTAGATAATGCTAA